ACTGTTAAAAGTGTTAATGTTATTGTTAATCCTTCTAAAAAGGCAAAGAATATTTATTAATGTTATAGAGCCACAACCATTTCTTCACCTCTACTGAACAGTTTCCATTCAGCTTAAAACTTACCTGTTTCCTTTTTGTTCACTGAAATGTGTTGTGTACCTTGTATTTGTCTTATCTACAACATTGTAATTACATGTTTGATTCTATAGTTCCTCAGTTGAATGTTATTACTGTAGGATATTTTGTTGAGAACTGTGATAAGAGTTCAAACACAGAGTCAAAGGTGATAGCCCTGAGCAGTGCTGTCAGCCAGTGACTACTTATCTACACTTAATTTAAAACCAAATAAAAGTCATATCAGTAATCCTTAAATTTGCCACGTCTTGATTTGCATTCTCGAGTAGATTTTCTAAATGATGGCTTTAAAAAAGGATGAAAGTGGTTCAAGCAGTGGCAGAGCTCGAGCAGCGGCGAGAGAGAGAGAGACGGGAGGGGGGAGAGGGAGAATAGACAAACAGGTTGCACTGGGGCCTGGGGAATAAGAGCTTGTCAGTGCAGGGAAAAAAGGGAAAATAAGATGGAGGACTGCTACAGCAAAAGGGCTTCAAGGAGAGGACATGCCAGACAGTTTTAATAATCATCATCATTACACTGCACTTCTACGTTACTCCTCAAAACCGAGCCTTCGCAGACAGGTGACCCCAGCCGCACACTACCACTGTCCGCTGCTCTTTGCCAAACTTCTCTCACCCTAGACCATTTTCAGCATCACTTTTCAATCCCACTTCCATCCTGTTTGATTACTCACCTCAGAAGATCCAAGTCCGTATTTTTGTTGTTTTATGATGCGAGCAAATTAAGTCCTATGTGCACCTTGCCTTTCTCAACTGTGTACTGTGCTCCAAGTCCCTGGCAGCCCCCATGACACCTCCCACTCCTCCCCTTCGTATAACTTATCAACCTCCTGCCTTTCCACCGCGCTGGTAATTAGCGCGTCTCAGCCCCAGATGTTATGGCGGCTTTATTTAGCCAAGCTCGCACTATTAACTATTCCAATTAGGTGTTTAATTGCAGTAAAAGAAGTAGTAGTAGTAGTAGTAGTGTGGCTCTACTTTCTGTGAGTATTTATAAGTAAACACATTTCTTAAAGTTGTTGCTTGTAACCACTGCCTGACTGGCTTCTCCACAGTTTGGCTTGGTCCGTCTTGACCAGCATCTACATGTGGGTTTGGACAGATGGCGAAACACTTTCTCTTGAGTATCATGCACAGCCCCTCACTCTCGCTCTCTCTCTAATTAACAAGGTTTCAGTAACAAACCTTTTGGGCATTGGCATCTCCATGGTAACTCAAACAGAAGCACTGGTGTCTACTTGCAGTCGATGCCATCTTTAGCATCTTACTCATGTGTGCAAAATCAAGAGGGATTATGACTGATATAAAAACATTTGTAAATAAAATAAAAGTAAAAAGTACTCAAAATGTTCCTTATAAATCTAAAGTAGCTGACTTTTCTTTTGCATGCATGGCGCTATAAAGATGGCGCCGTGGCAAGAGCTCTGGCGTGTGCCGTCTTCTCTGTCTGGTAAACACTGGGTAGTCAAATCAGTCAAATGTGGTCATACATATATTAATGTTAGCATAATTTATCTGCAATTAGTATGAGAGTACACAAGAGTACAACATAAAAGAACCCAACGCCCAGTCAAGTAACTCATGATCAAACATGTATGAAATAAAACACAAAAATGTTAAAGCTAAATGTCATTGGTTGCTAATTACACTTTCTGGCCACCAAAACTTTGATTAATTCTGTAGTGTCTGTTCTCCTCAAGGCAAGCGTTTCACCCTCGACATTTAACAGAACTAAAGAAGACCTGGCATTGAATTTTCAAAGTGAAACAAAAGGAAAAACTGCACTATTTTCATTCATTTTGAGAATTAAGTCGGCGACACAGTGCAGTGTTGTTGATTAGCTTTATCAGAAAATATGCAGGTCATTTGTGAAAAGGGAAAGCTTGCCAAGACCTTCCATATGTCGCCCGCACATTAGAAGTCCAGAGTGTTTGTACCTGTCCTAAATCCTACCACCTAATCCTTGAAGTGCGAGCCGTCAGAGCGTATGCTGCACCATGCCACTTCTTTCATCTTTTTCCAATTCTGCACCCTTTGCATGTCTTTGTAGTGCGGTCTCGTCGACTTTCACAAATGAGCATAGCAATACTCTCCTTTTAGACAGCTCCTGCTTTAAGGCATCATTTTGTTGCACTACAACGAATGAAAAGAAATGTATTTCCACTTTGGGATGCTGCCTGCAAAGTCAACAGTTTTATAGTCAGTTGTGGGGAATAAGAAAATCATCGGAAAACCCCCAAAGTGTACAAAGAGAGAAAAAAAGCACAGAAGCGGGTATAGGTCTGTAGCCGGAGGTTACGCACTGTGTGAACAAGACGCCATCCAAAAGCTTTTTCATTAACATTTTGGCCGGATGTGTTCTGTATTTCTGATAGTTGTCCAAACATAGAGATAGTGTCACCTCAGTGTGACATTTCCGGCAGCTACAAGCGTTGTGGCGTCGGACATAAAATGTAATCTAAAAATATCACTTCCAGATAAAGAAAGGACTGGGCTTCTGTCCACAAAATTGCTCTCTACATACGTTTTTTTGGAAGAATTTCATCTTGCTTCAGAGGCCTCTGATTATGGACCAGAAGGCAGCAGTAAAATAATGCCAATTATGTCAATTTGAGATTCATAGCAGACATCATTTTAAAGCTGGGGTATCTTATTTTCAAACCACACATAATGGAACTATGCAATAGAAAACAGTTTGAAATGACTGATCCAAAGATGCTCGCCCAAAAATAACAAAAGTACCAATGTACAACACGGAATAGTGAAAGAGAGGACCACCCTCTCTCAGCCAATCAGCTCCCAGCCCAAAGCGTCAAATAGTGACTCACATGGTTCTGACAGCATAATGTGGTCTGATTTGTTCACAACATTATAGTTTTTCAAGAGTTTTTTTAATGTTGGGACAAACGCCATAGATGAATTATAAAACTAGATTTAAATAAACCTGCTTTAATTTTGATTTGAAGAAAGATTTTTAAAAATCTCATGAGATGGGTTTAAAAACTTTACAATGTAATTGTCTTTAATGAGAAAATGACACCTCTAAAACTCACTTTTGTGTGCGGCGTGAAAGTTTGCCGCACACAAACCTGACTGTCACAGCGAGTCGTGATGAGACTCAATAAGTGATGCCATTTCTTTGCCGCCTGTGGCTAATTGGCGCAGAATGGATATGGGGCACCTAATCAGGAGATTTTATTTGTCTGAACCTTTTACACCAGGAAGAGACATGAGATCTGTGAACCCTTAAACAAACTCAGCACCTGAAAGTGTCACATTTGAGGGTTGTACAACCTGACGTTTTGTCTTTCCCTGTGGAAGACACAGCACATTATTGTCTCCAAATTAGAGCGTGAACAAACCCTCTTTGGGCCATGTTAGCGAAGCAGCTGTTCACACAAACTGAGGCGTGCTCTTCAAATAAAGATTAATGACAGTTAGAAGTTACAAAATCATTGCGAAAAAGAAAGATTAATGCAGTGTTGAACTTCATTGTTACTTGGGGTGAGAAAAAGTGGTTAAGTTCATGTTAAGTGTTGGTTTAACTATTGGAAATAAAACTTGGTACAAATGATAATAAGTATTTTATTATCAACAAGTATGCATTTGGAGCCAGGGTGGAGAACCAAATCAGAAAGATTATTATTTTTTGTTCCATGTTTTGTTAATGTGAAATTATATCTTAACTAGAAAATATATGGTGAAACACGTAAGAAAATAACTGGCTGCAGACACACCTAAGCGATTATTAAGAATGAAATGAAACAAATGTATGAGGAATACTCATACATTTTGTGTGATCACAAAATCATACTGTTACAGGCCTGACAGGAGCTTGTACACTGAAGGGGGCGGAGTTTCATGTTTGTTCTAGAAGTTCCTGATATTATCAGGAGTCAAGATCAAGATTAAATGTATTTGCCATTTGCAGTTAAAAACCATATTGAATAATTGATCTAAAAACAACCCCCGGGTCTTTTTGATGAGGGAATGATGTTGTAACTCGGTGGTTTTTGCATCATAGGTCTCCTTTAAATGAAAAACTAACATTTAAACATACCAAATAAAGAGTAGCCCAAGCAGCCAACATTGGGGGGTATTGATTTCTTACAGTCAATCCAACTCTACAACCACCATATTGTATTTTATGGCACTATCAGGTTTGACGTGGCCTTGAAAGATGAGCAGGTCTCCTGGCTGGCGCTGCAGACTATCATTTGACGAAAGCCTTGACACTTGCCAGCAATTTAAACTATACATAACTATACAACTTGGAAGATGATCAATTGTGATGAACTGCTGTAGTGTTTACTCTGTGCTTTCCAAAATGCCTCATTATGCCGCTGTACGTCTGAAAGTACTATCTCGTTAGCCTTCTAAAACTCAATTGATGACTGACTTGAGAAAGAGATAAATTGGAGTATTCTATCTTGAGCTGGGATGACTTTTTATCAGGAAGTGATTCTCAGTGTGTGCTTTTTTGTTATAGTAGCAGGCAGCAGGCTTCTCTTATGGAATTGTAGCCAATGCAGCATTTTATTGTTTCACATAAGGGCCCAGTTATACCTGTGAATAAAATGAAGTGTACTACTGGCAAACCTCCCCAGGACCCACAGAAATGCTGATGAAAAATATGAAGGACACTGCAGAATGCCTCCCTTAAAAACAACGAAAAATATTTAGTCTCTGTGAATTGCAATAAAACAGGTCACGACACCAATATACACAGATGAAAAGTGCTTTAAACGCTGCTCTTTGTGAATTGAAAGCCCAAAGCGAAGTAATTTTCAGCTTGGCTAAAGGGGAGTCTAATAGTGTGAAAGAAATACCACAGCGGAGGCTTGAATTATGTGTAATTATGAAACTCTTTTAACATATTTACTTAATTCAAAATGATGCATCTATCAATAAACATTTCAAATATATCATAGTATATAAAAATGTGTTAAATGTTGCACCATATAAACAGACATCAAATAGTTATGTCTTTTTACAGTGCATTGATTTTTTTCCTCTTGCCATATTGGTCTTACAGATTCCTACATACTCATAGGGAACTCCAAAGGAAATATGATGTCCCAATCATAAGTTAAAGAAAAGAAAAGGGCGTATAAGCCATGGTAAAACAGTTTGGTAGATGTGGAATAGATTGGCTGTAAAGTGAATGTTAGTTACTTGTTGATTTTTATCCAATGCATGCACTGGTTAGACTCGCCCAAGCTCACCCCCGCTGCTGCCTGATTTACATTTATGACACACAGACGATGCAAATCTTACTGGATCAGAGAGGGACTATATTAAAGAACTTGTTTTACTTTGATATGACTCTCCATGGTCATATGGCCAAAAATAGACTTAATAAAATAACAATTATGAAATACAATTGATTTTGCAGACATAACCTTTAAATCATTCGACTGAGATCTCATTGACAGCACAGTTCCATTCATTGACATAAATTCAACCAATGGCAAAAAATCTCCCACTTTACTCCCAGCTCTCCTGTTCTGATTATTCTACTTTGTTAATCCCACCTTTTCAAACTAACACATTTTGTCTTCATTTCTTTCAGCCAACAACTCTCTACTTGGAGGAGGAGGAGGTAAGAAACCTGTTTGTTGTGCAGGCAGTTCATAAATAACCAAGAGAAAATTAAAAAAAAAAAAGGAGCAAAAAAGTGGAAAAAGCCCAGGAGGGAAATGACTGGCCTCTCTGTGAAGGCCGTGTGCACATTGCTTCTTGCCACGCCGCCGTGCTCTGTTTTGTCTTTAGGAGCAGGTCTTTGTTGTGGCAGGTGTTCAAGGTGAATTTGAATGCTGCGCTGTGTCTCTGCCTGTGTGTTTGCGAGCAGGTGCAAAGTCGATTGGTTATAATTTACAGCTTTGAAGTCGAGCGCACACAAACAGCCATTTTTTAGTGTATTGTTGACGCAGTGCTTTACGGTGTGCGCGCGATGTCGGACGTTCGCGGAGAATCGATACTTGTAATAAATCTGTACCGCTAATGCACCAGTCGAATTCACTAAAATACGTGCGCGCTCTGAGCCCGCCGTCGCGTGTGTGAGTGTTTGCAAATCTGGCCGCATTTGCCTGTGGTTGTTTTTCTTCATTTAGATAAACAGCTTCAGCCTGTCAGACCACCATTTGCACAGCCTTTTTAACCTGATGCAAAATTGGCTATGTATACAAGTACTTTATATACACACACAGGCCTATCCGGATGATTACGGATTTTCTTTTCACTTTGGGGAACTCTGTACGTTTGCAAGTGTAAAGTAGGAGCTCTCTCAATCTTTTTGTCTTGAATCCCTCTAAGCATTTACTCATATTTACTATTACCCTTTAATGTGGCTATCAGGCAAATCCCTTTAGTTTACTCTGTTGGAATATTTTCAATTATATGCTGTTATTATGGTCTATCTAAAAATGTGCTAAGATGCTTGTTTGACACTACCTTTATTAATTTAATAATGGTAAGTGAGTTCTTTTTAGATTATACTCATCGTTACTAAACCAGTCTCCTTCTCCTTAAAGGGGCATTATGTGGCATTTTATTAAAACAACATGGTAGGGGCTGGAATTAAAACAACATGAGGAGTTTTTTCTCTCCCAGCACAGGTTTTTGTGGCAATCTATCTATAATTTGAACGAGAACTTCCGTCTTGGTGGTGTCTTTTTGGCAGCTTCAGGCATAAGTTTGGAAAAATTGTTAGGTAGTGTACCATTAACTTCAGCTCATTCTTTATACGATCAACTCAACCAATAATTTTTGAATCAATTTGTGTGAAAAGAACAAACACTAATGGTCCAAATTCCTTATGATTCAATTGTCATACTATTTGACAATAATAATTAAAAGGACACACTTTAAAAAATGTTTATTTGGCCATCATAGTGGAAGAACAGTTGTATTAAAACAGAACAAAAGTCGTTTATTCAGACACAACATGGCACAGTTAAAGAGCATTGCCTGCAGTAATTACCCCCACAGCGCTCCGTCGTCTACGAGCGTCATGGGTCACTGACGTCTATCCAAACATCTGCTTAAATGTGACGATTTCTCCTCCTCTGATAAAAAGACAGCTGCTCTCTGAAAAGTCTGTGAACAGTGGAAGCTGCGCAAAATTCATAAGCGAAATAATATTTCTTCAGTTGCCAAAGTCACTTTGCCACTGCATCCATAATTCACGCAATTTCTCCTCCATCTGGGTCTCTCTTTGGTGTTCTTTCTGTGGTAATATTGCCGGTCTCTTTGTTATTGTATTTATTTTCGCTCCCTCTGACTGCCTTTCCAGCGCTGCCCTTAGGGGTTTGCTCAGTCAGATCCAGCTTACAGTAGGTGTTAATTAGAGATCGGGGCAAGGAAAGAAACAGAGGAGTGAATGGAACAAACAACACGGGAGGAAGATGAGGAGCTGCAAAAGAAATAGAAATGAGTGCACAGGTCGTCTTGCCATAGATGTCCGAGATTAAAAATAACTTGTTTTTTAGTAGTCTATCCAAAACAAATAGTTCATGCAAAAAAGATATGATTTGTCGGAAATATAAACTTCAGATTTTCTTCATGTATAATAATACATGATACTACTGCTCTCAAACAATTAAAATATGTCATGATTCATGTCTTGATTAACTCACGAATTACAATTGCATTTTTCCCTGTTCTAAATGTCCCTTCAATTGGTTTGAAAAGACATTAAATGAAGCAACAATCTTATAATCGTCCAATCCCCTCCTAAAAGAAATTATTTGGATTGTCTAATAATATAGGCTTCTCAATCTCCGCTTTTGTAATTGCCTTTTACAGTGAATAGAACAGGGCCGCCAACTCTTTATCACACTGTATCTGGTTTATAATGCACATGTGATTCATGATCAATTACTGACCATGTTGTTTCTATTCGCATTCACAGGAAATAAATAAATACTCAAATGAGCAGATGAGAAATATTGTAGATGGACATCTGCCACAAAATCTACAGTACGTTCTTGTGCAGTGTGGCTCATGTAGTAACTTAGTGTCATATCATGTATCAGAGACGCTCACACCTCCTTTACTTCTGTCTTTTTTCTCGTGGACTCTTTCTGTTCTTTCTTCTGAGGATGCACTGTCAGAATCGGTAAGCCGCAGTTACTGTACATTTGCAGACACTGGCCACACTAGGCCAGGTGCTCGTCTGTCAAATGAGCCACACGTATTCTGCCACACGTTGCTGTACATCAGTCCTTTAGCCTGTACTGTTCTCTACACTTCTCCATAGACTACTCAGAGAGAGCAACAGCTGCGGCCCTTTTGTGCTCGTGTTAAATTAAATTGGTTGAACTGACAGCACAAGAAAATACTAATACAGTGTTAATGAAACGGGAACATTTATCATAAAAATCGGTCTATGAGGGAAAAATTGGTTTAAATAAAAAGTAAAAATACATAATGCTGTATGCAGAGGTTTTGTCCTAATTAAGAGGGATGTTTGTGTTTGACATTTTCTGTGTTTTTTTGTGCTATTATGCCCTATGCTGCTCAAAGGATTTCTTCGTGATGGGATAAATAAAGTAGTCTGGATCTGAATCTAAATATTCCAATGTGGGTTAAAAAGGTCAATGTTGGAGTGTAGTTTAAGGTCAGATGTGCCGTGAATGTGGTCATGTTTGTATTCATGTTTGTGATAACAAAAATCTGGGACGACAGTAGTTCAGTTTGTAAAGCAGTGGTCTTTGTACCTAATGGTCGTGGGTTCGATCTAACCACGACCCATGTCATCTGCTCCCACTGATGTCTGCTGTTGTTGTTGTGTCCCTGGGCAAGACACTTAACTCCACATTGCCTGAGCCCCCCGCTGAAAGATCAAGGCCAATGTCTTCAATGACGGAGAAGCCATATTCCCGTGGACCCACCACCTGCAGCAGGATCAGCGAGGGACTGGTGCTATGAGACTTGACACTGACCCAGAAATGGATTAATAAAGGGGAAGACAATGACATGACAGGACATAACAAAAATGTAGTTGTTGCTTCACATAATAGGCTTAAACCAAATTGATATAACTGACATTTAATGGTCCTCAGCCGCAGCCTTCAGCTGTAGATTTGAGCGAGACAGCTGAAGGCAGCTCTCTACATATATACCAGCTGTGATGTCACACTCGATTGGTCAGTCAGGGCAAGATGACGAGATGGCCTTTCCATGGAAAGCGGCCGCTGAGGATGGGACATCAAAGAAACTTCTTCCCAACAGTGTTCATGATACTAATCTAGATGTAATGTCCTTAAGATGCATGGAGGGAACCCAAACTTACACGTTTCTTTTTGTCAGGTTTTATATAATTTTATCAAAAGCAAGTGATTACATACTGTCGTGCATATTGCTCAGTGGTTCTCTGCCAATTATCAACAACAATTGGTTTTCAGTTTTTCAAAGGAATAAACAAGAATGTAGAGTGAAGGAAACAATACAAGAGCAGTAGAAGATGACAGTGCAATATTATCCGGGACAACAGTTTGAAAGTAAAAACAGGGACAAAGCTAGCTTGATGCAAACGGAGTTAGCATCAAGCTAGCAGCTTTTTATTTCCGCCACTTCCGGCGGTGGTCTTTAAAAATAAAAGTGTATTTCTCTTTGAAAAGGTGTACCTGCATCATTATCATTGTATTAGATGAAAATGATCTCAGAACGACAATACTATCGCCTATCGCAATAAATTCTGAGACAATTAATCGTCCAGCAAAATTTGTAATCGTGACAGGCCTACTCAGGACAGCAGCGGCTCGACTGTGCAAACATTTATTCAATAATTTGCAATTACAAATGTAATAAAATTATCAAAACTAAGACAATATACGCTCTGCAACACCTGACAATGGTGTGTTCTTCTTACTTAGTGGTTTGATGGTAGATGCCTGGGACCAGCAGGTGATACAGTAACTGATCTGAGAAACAATATTGGTTGAAAGGTTATATAGGTCTTTCTTATCTCAGCCAATTATTAAAGTTATTAAAATAACTATTTTCTGAAAGTCTGTAATTTGCGCTCTATAGAAACATCATCAATGAAGCCGTTTAGGCTTGAAACGACACTGCAAGAGTTTCTTGCTTGTTTTTTCTGATGCATTAAAACAAAAGGCCTTTACTAAACGAGGATCTCAAGGGTGCCCGCGTAAATGTCATTGTGTGGAGGAGCTCACCTGCACACTTTGTTTTCAACACTTGAGCATCGAAGAGAAAACCGCGCACCAACAGCCAACTCAAGGACAGGAAATTAACCTTTGTTCAGGTCCACTCTGTGTATGCTCTCATTCAGCGGCACATCTGCCATTTAAATGCCTTTTAATTGATTTCCCAAATAGAAATGCGCACAGACAATGATTGGGGGTTGAGTCAGCCAGGCAGATACAGAGAGATTTATCCACATGAGTTCTGAATACAGTACATTTTGAGAGCTCGCTGCTGCTAAGGGCTTTGAAGTTATGTTGTGCTGCTTCTTCTGGGTCACCATATGTCACACGCACCTCTGGGACCAGCGCAGGCAGCCCTGATGGGTTCCTGTGCTCATACTCTACACTGAAATGTCATCAGACCTGAGTGGAAAATATAAGGAGTCTTTTG